CCGGTACCGGGACACAGCCACAGCCAGGGCATCACCAGTATCACCAGTACTGGGTACTGGGACACAGCCACAGCCAGAGCATCACCGACACCACCGGTACCACCGGTACCACCAGTAGCACGGGGAACTGGGACACTCTGTCCCCATCCCTGTCCCATCCCTGCTGTGTCCCCATTGTGTCCCCATTGTGTCCCCATGGTGTCCCCACTGTGTCCTCACTGTGTCCCTATCCCTGCTGTGTCCCCATCCCTGCTGTGTCCCCATTGTGTCCCCATTGTGTCCCCGTCCCCATTGTGTCCCTATCCCTGCTGTGTCCCCATCCCTGCTGTATCCCATCCCTATTGTGTCCCCGCTGTCTCCTCATCCTGGTTGTGTCCCTGCTGTGTCCCCGTCCCCGCTGTGTCCCTAGGCATATGTGCACACGTGCGAGAACACGTGTGTGCACATATGGGAACACGTGTGTGCACGTATGGGAACACGTGTGTGCACATATGGGAACATGTGTGCGCACGTATGAGAACACGTGTGCGCACATGTGAGAACACGTGTGTGCACATGTGAGAACTGGCATGCGCATATGTCAGAACTGGTGTGTGCACATATGAGAACATGCCTGTGCACATGTGAGAACACGCGTGTGCGTGCGTGCTTGTACAAACGTGTACTTGCACGCTTGCACGCTCATGCACATGAGTGTGTGTGCATAAATCCTGCACTTACAGAGGGAAAATGGGCGAGGGGAATCACGTTACATCGTGCTCCATGGTTTTCTTCACTATTTAGGCCGATTTCGCCCCAAAACACCCCTCATCTTTCTCCTGTGCGCGCCTGTCCCTTTAAGGCGCGCGCCATCTTTGTCGCGGGCGCGGCGGCGGCGCCGCGGAGCCTCGGCGCGCCTGCGCGCGGCGGGGCGGAAGTGCGCGCGGCGGCGGGCGGAAGTGGGCGGGCGCGGGCGCTGGAGGGTTCGAGAAGAGGCCGCCGCCGCCGCCGCCGCCGCCCCCCCCGCCATGGTGGATTACAGCGTGTGGGACCACATCGAGGTGTCGGACGATGAGGACGAGACGCACCCCAACATCGACACCGCCAGCCTCTTCCGCTGGCGGCACCAGGTCGGGCCGCGCCGCCGC